TCTCTCCGCCTGGGCCAGGTGCCTGCGGGGCGCGGCGGCCGGGCGGGGCGCAGGGCTGTGCCCGCGTCAGTTGCATGTCACCCCTCCGCCGTGACACTTGGTTCGGCCCGGGCTGCTGGTTGCCTGGGTATCCTCGGCTCCTGGGGGCTCACCCTCCACCCTCTGCCCCTTGACCCCGAGTCCCTCTGCAGTCCCCAGCTTTAGGGGAGCGCGGTCTGGTCTTTTGCTGAGATCTTGGCGGGCGTTGGTTTTCCCCGATTCGGCGTCCCCAGAGGCCTTCCGGTACCGGAGGCCCGTGGGGGACTACTCCTGGGTGCGTTCCCCAGGGCGGGGTGCCCGTCTCCTGTGGGTGCCCATTCCCAGTGGGTGCCCGTCCCCTGTGGGTACCACCTGCCAGGGAGATCTCCAGACTCCCTAGTCCTCGCAGAAGGCCACCGCGCTGCCTGTGTCCAGCGCCCCTGGCATGGCACTTGCCTTAACCCTCTGTCCAGCCAGCTGACCTCCTGGCCGGCTCTGAGCTCACCACCTGGCCCCTTTCGATGGCTCGAATGCTTGCCCTGCTGCCCGCTCCTCCTTCAGACTCCGAGGCCCCACCCAGGCACATCCCTTTAGCGCCTGTCTCCATAGACGCCAGTTTTCAGACCCACTCTCTCCTGTGTTGCAGTGTGTCCTCTTGGTTGAAGTATGTGCAGGAAGTCCAGGCTCCGCTTGCCTAGTTAGAAAGGAGGAGGTTGTAGCTACAGGTGTCTGTCACAGCTCACGGCACCCTCCACCCCTCGGTGTCTCTGGTCCCGCTAACTTGTGTCCTTGTCTTCCTCCCTCCAGGTACACATGCCATGAGGGTCGGGAGCCTGTCTGCTGTGGTCAGCACCGTTTCTCCAGGGCCTGGCACGTGGTAGGTACTCAAAAGATCTATTTTGAACCAGGGAATTCCAGGCGGGGCTTAATTAGATCTCCACTTGCTCTCCCCACCACCTCCCCGACAGTCCTCCAAAGCTTTTGGGTCTGTTATTCAAGATCTTGTTCTTTTCTGGGAAGGCAGCTTCCCTGGGCCTGGAAAGCTCCACCCTCCCGTACCGTTCCCTAGACTTTGGCCCAGCTGACCTCCAGCTCCTGGGCCCCCTCCTCTTCCCCCTGCCCTGCCTGCACGCCCCCTACTGGGGATCGAGCCCGAAACCCGGGCCTGTGCCATGACTGGGAATGGAACCGTGACCTCCTGGTTCACAGGTCAACACTCAACCACTGAGCCCCGCCGGCCGGGCCTCTCTGGGTCTTTAGATTCTTGGAGTCAGGGCGTTGTCTTCACACGTGTGTGCCGGTCAGACAGGCGTTGGTAGACGTGCTGAATAGGCGGTAGCAGCAAAGACCACGGCAGCTTCACCGCCCCTCACTGTGGAGGTGGGAAGCAGACACAGGGTGGGCAAAGGACTTCCCAGGAGTCTGAGAGGGAGAGGACCAGCCTGGCTCCCTGGCCAGTGCTCTTGACCTCCACCCCTGGGGTCTCCTGTCCCTCTGCCTCTCCTGGCCTCGGCGGGACCGCCGGGCAGGCATGGTCTAGGGGCTTTGCAGTCAGTCCCAGCCGCTGTCTGACTCGGCATGGCCATGCAGCCTCACTGTCGGGGGAATGGTGGTGCTCATCTCAGCCCTGTTGGAATCATAAATGTGGAAGTGTGAGCGCTGGCTCATGGCAGGGCTCACAAAAGCTGCTGTATTTTTTCTGTGTCTCCCCAGGCCATTGGGCCCCTTTCTTGGGAAAGCATGGGACCCTCCTTTTTCTCATCATTCTTCATCTACCCCCCAAGACCCGCTCCCCTCCCTCTGCAGCACCCCTACTCCTCCGGCATGTGAGGGTTTACTTACTTCAGTGATGGCGAACCTATGACATGCATGTCAGAGGTGACACGCAAACTCCTTTTTTGGTTGATTTTTCTTTGTTAAATGGCATTTAAATATATAAAATAAATGTCAAAAATATAAGTTTTGTTTTACCATGGTTGCAAATATCATAACATTCCTATATGTGACACAGCACCAGAGTTAAGTTAGGGTTTTTCAAAATGCTGACACGCCGAGCTCAAAAGGTTCACCATCACTGGTTTACTTCATCATCAACAGGATTCCCACCAAGTCCCTAGTCCTGACCTCACGGAGCTCAGTCTCGCAGGACAGTGGGGACTGCGCAGTGTGGTGACTCCAGTGGGGATCCCATGTGGGGAGCCCTGGGGGGACGGGGTGCTCATCCTGGGGAGGTGGCATTTGGTCTGACTCCGGGAGGACAAGGAGGATCACCCAGGTGTGTGCGTGTGTGTGCGTGTTGAAAGGGTGAGAGGGCGTGATGTCCGAGGGGAAGGGCCGAGTGGAGGTGGAGAGGAGGGAGGGCCAGGTGGCAGCTGTTCTGTGGGGCCCGGAGGAAGGAAAGAGTCTGGGTGTCACAGCCCCTGCTGCTGCCTGGGCTCCACCCCCAGGAGCCTGGGTCTCGGGTCACCTCTCCCTCTGTCGCCCACGCAGACCTTGCTGCCCGCCTCCACCTGCCAACGCAGGGTTGGAGTTTGGGTGGCGGATCCTTTCACACTGGAGCCTCCTTCCCAGTGTGTGTCCTGCTGGTACAGCGGGGGCCATGCCTCTGTCCAAGGCCCCATCGGTGCGTTAGGGCACTCGCTTCGCATGAATGAGCATCCCGATTTCATAAGGAAAGTCAACGGGAAACAACATTTCTCTGAAAAAAAAAAATGCTTGGGAGTCAACTTAATGGAAACTTCCATTTGCTCTTGGGAATGTTTATTGAGTTCTGATTGTGGCCCGGTCTCAAGGACATAGGAATGCAGGCCCCCTCTGTAAGCAGCTGGCCGGTGAGCTGGTGGACGAGGGCAAGTGGCAAGTACTGTGACCCAGGGAAGCACAGGGACCACGTGGGCTCAGGGCTGGAGCCTGGGACCACCAGGAGGCCTCCTGGGCAGCTGGCTCTCCCACCGGCTACTGATCGGGTTCCTTCTGCTCGCAGGGGTGGATGCCTGAGGCCCGTGGCTTCTGTAACGTTACCACAGATGTTGGCTTCAAGCCTCAGATTCATTCTCTCCCAGTTCTGGAGGCCAGGAGTCCAAGGCCTGTCACCCTGGGCTACAGCTGGGGTGGCCGGGCTGGTTCCTCCTGGAGGCTCCGGGGGAATCCGTTTCCTCGCCTTTTCCAGCTGCTAGAGGCCCCTCCACATCTCTCCCTGCGTCCTTGTCCCTGGCCTTTGCTCGGAGCCCTCCGGCCTCTCTTATTAGGACCCTTCTGACCGTGAGGGGCCCACCTGGTTAATCCAGGATGACCTCCCCACCCAGGTCCTTAACAGGCATCACATCTGCAAATGACGGACAGACGCAGCGTTGAGTCTGCCGCTGCCAGTGAGCTGCTCATCCTGCTACACGGAAGTCCCTCGGTCTGTCCCGCAGGCTGGGTGGACCCGCTCCTCCTGCAGGAGTTTCTGTCGTTCTGCAAGTTCCCCCGGAAAGAACAGGCTCTGAGTTAGTGGTTCTTCCAAATACTGACACATCTAATCATGCAATTTCAAAAGATCGCTTTCGCTGCAGCACTACGCACCTCCGAGAAGTCTGAGGGCATGAGCTGCCAGGCTCACGGAGAGGAAACTGACTTCCCAGCTCTGCTCTTTGCCTGGAACTTGATTTTGATTACGAGCTTCCTTGAAGTGACAGGCTCATTTTGTTCACATTGGAGGTACCTGCCAAGTACAAGTCTGAATAGCGTGTTTCGTTTCTCAGCAGTTCTTTTCAGCGTAAGTGTTGCCCTATCAACAAAGCGCCGGTTCGCTCGCAGCCTGAATCATCAGAGCAGGGCTCACCGGCCGGGCGACCTCTGCCTTCATTTTGGCAGTTTTGGTTGATGGTGGAGAGCGGCCACAGCATTTGGACAGGTTCAAGCCTCGGACTAATGAGAGGACATGGTCCTCTCGTGGCAAAGCCACGTGCAAGTCCCAGCCCTCCCAGCACAATTATGGCCAAAGGCTGTGGCTGTGAGCTTGACCTTATGGTCCGAACCTGTGGCCCCACGTGGCTGAGTGGTGTGGGCTGCGGGAGGTGCAGCCAGTGCTGCCAAAACAAAGCCTGATAGAGTTCAGGTGCAGGTAATTGAGTGGATTCGAAGTCTGTCTGCTCCGTCCTTCACCGCCCCTCAGGCTCACCCCTGGCCGTGCTGAGTGCGGCCCAGTTTATATTTCCCCTTCCGTCACAGAAAGCTAGAACCGCAGGTACTCCAGGCCGAGGTGAGAGAAAATGTGTCCTTTTCATAGTGTCACCAAGGTCATCGGAAGTGAAGCCCGTCACCTCGCTGTGAGTGGGGAGGGCTTGCTCCGCTGGCCGCGGGTGGGCTGAGTCCCGCAGCGCCTGCCCTGGCCTCACTCTGTCCGTGAAAGTGTCCATACAGTGAAAAAGGCAGACCTCACCTGGAGAAGTGAGAATGGCTTTGACCTCGCGGAGCCCTTGACTGGCCTGGGGAACCCCAGGGTTCGGGGACCACGTGTACAGAGCTGCTGGCTTGGGGACCAGCCCGCTGCCTCTTCCCACCATTCAGTCCGGCCTCTGTCGGCTGGAAAGACCCTCAGGAAGGGTGGACCCGTCTGGCTGGGCGGCACAGACACCCTTGGTGAGCCAGGCGACGCTCAAACTGCCCCCAGCTGGCTTCAGCAGCGAGAGACCCCGCCCGTGCGGGGCCGCCTGGGGGGCTGGGTCCCGCTGGTGCTCGGACCCACTGGCCTCGCCTGGTTTCTGCCCTGCCTGCTTCTTGTGTGTGTGAAGGGGGGGCTCCTGCACTGGCCCGGCAGCTTCCGGGGAGCGCCTCCACTCCAGGGGCTGCAGGAAGGTCTCACTCAGCAGACCCGGCAGAAGCTCTGAGATTTGCATCTTGGGGCCCTGAGTGGGCCACGCTCCCCGGGCCCCAGGCCTGGGCCCTGTGCGCGCTCAGCCTCCGCAGCTGCATGGAGCGGCCCTGCGTGTCCGTCCCTGGGCCAGTCTCCGAGGCCCGGAGAGTCCTGCTCTGGTTGGTTCCCGAGTGGAATGGCGGAGCGGTTCTTTGGAGCGAGACAGGCACGCTTGCCAGGGGAAGGCAGCGCGGGTGCCAGTCTCGCCCTGGGTGTGGAGGGTGGGGTTGCAGAGGCGGGTTCGGGGGTGCTGGGTCCTCGGGTACAGTGGGGGGAAGGGAAGTTTTAGAGCCGCTCTGAGCACTGTGGTACTTACAACTCTTTTATTTCTTTGAACAGGGATGGTGCAGGTGACCTTCGAGGCCAGTGACCCGCAGACCGGCAGGATGCGTGACTGGCACCAGATTTTTGACCAGAACGTGCTGGTGCCTCCCCACCCACACAGAGCACGCCAGCCCTTAAAGGACTCGACGGCGTTTCAGTGCGTCCTGAAGTGGCTCGATGGGCCGCTCATTAAGCAGGTAAAGAAATTTGCTATTTTTTGTCAAACACACGTTACTGCTCAGCTGGGAGGCTATTGATTTCCACTTATCTATCTGTGTCTCACCACTGTGCCCATTACCTCGGGCCTTGGCACTATTGGGAGGCAAAGTGGCCCATCAGCAAAGAGAATCCACGACTCAGCGGCTCGGTCAGCACTTTGGACCCGGGAAAGCCTGCTTCTGCCCGCAGAGCAGCAGCGTTAGGATGGGCAGTCTGGCTCCCTGGGCTCTTCCTTCCTTTTTAAAATATATTCTTATTGACCTCAGAGAGGAAGGGAGAGGGGGAGAGAGGAACAACAATGATGAGAGAGAATCGGGGATCGGCTGCCTCCTGCACGCCCCCTACTGGGGATCGAGCCCGAACCCCAGGCATGTGCCCTGACCTCCTGGTTCATAGGTCAGCGCTCACCACTGAGCCCCGCCGCAAAGGGCCTGTGTTTATAGTCTCTGGCTGCTCTGTCTGCAGTTGTGGCTGTGACGTCGCAGTCCTCACAGATTTGCCTCTCCTTTGCTGACACCACCCTGTGCTTCCATCAGGAAGGGTTCACTGGGCTGTGCACGATAAAACCCACCCAAATAGCCTAGCTAGAGGCGACCATTCCTCACATGGCAGGCAGACCCTTGGTTACTACAAGCTTCAGGCGTGGCCGACCAGGGTCCGTGATGTCCCCGGGCTTCTCTGGCTGCACCTGGTGCCAGAGGCACCGGTCCCCGCAGCCCTTGCCTGCGTCTCCTGGGCTCTGTGGGTCTCCAGGCGGGGCTGGGCCTGGGGCTTCGTGTTCTGAGAGGTGGTTCCTGGGAAGGAAATCGGTGCCTAAACCCCAGAGGACGCTGATGGCCAGCTTACCTGGATGGTCGTCAGCACCTGCGGGAAGCTCGGCTGCTGAGAACCTCCGGGTGCACCCCGTCTCACAGGGCGCGCTGGAGGTGCTGTCAGAGCTGGGGTGCCATATCCGCGTGTCTCTGTTCGATGTCGCCTACCGCCACTTCTTCGGGAGGACATGGAGGAGCGCAGCGAGGCCCGTGGAGCCGCTCCCCAGGCAGCCGTCCAGGATCGTCCTGAATGAGGTGGGCGTGACGCAGGCAGCAGGTGTTGGGGCCCTGGGGCGGGCAGGGGACCCCCGACCCGGGGACACGAACAGCGCCTCTCGGGCCCGGGAGGGCCTATGGGCCGTGGTCCCAGCTCGCAGCACTGGTCTGAGGGCGGCACCATTTCCAAACAAAGTCTTGCGTGGAAGCCAAGCGCCCTAAACGGGTGAGAGCGCTCCGCTGGCTAGAGCAGTGGGTGGGCACGCGCATGGGGTCTCGTCCTCCAGCACGCGGGGTATTTTGTTCCCCCAAAGAGTAACCCAGCAGGTCATGGGGCCATGTGTGCCCGCGTTTGTGCGTGCCTGCGTGCCTGCCTGCGTGCGAGCAGGTGGACCTGGTGAGCTGGCTGTGCGGCCGCGCTGACCGCGGTGGCTGTCCTGTGGCCTCTACCCTGTGCATCCATGTGGAGGAGGTCGCCAAGGTCGGGGGGTGGGACCCTGCTCTGGGGCGAGCACAGGGATGAGCCCCTCCGCTGTCCTCCCCTTGGAGGGGCTGGAACTGTCCCGCGGGTGGCACTCGGCTGCCAGGCCGCCCACCCTGAGGCGCTGTGGGCACCCTGCAGCATCAGGGCGCGTGCAGGAGGAGCCTTCTGAGTGACGCCCCACCCTCCGCGCTGCCCAGGGCTCAGCATCGTGCGGGGGGGGGCGGGGGGGGTCTTCTGTTGTCACTCCCGTTGAGTGACGCTTCAGATGTCACTGCATCAGCTCGTGGCTCTAGTCCCAGGTAGGAAAACCGAGATCCGGCACCGGTTCTGAGTCCGGGAGCAGCGTGGGCTCCAGCCCCGCTGGCGCCGTTTGCATCCTGCTTACTGAGCTGGGCACGGGGGCGGGTAGGGGCTAGAGAGGACTTAGTCCTGGCGCCTCTGCCGTAGGTGATGCCCCATGGGATGGCGATGGCCTCGGGAAAGCGGCTCTCCAGTGCTGTGCCCTCGGCGAGCAGCAGAGGCCGCTGGTGCCTGGGAAAGTCCTCACGTCCAGCACTTGCTTTTGTTGCCTTGACGGTCAGAATACAGAAAAAGGGGTTTTGTTCAAGTTCTTTAGCTCCAGAGAAGGCCCCTCCCCGTGTGCACCCGTGTGCATGTGACATCTGCACAGTGAGCTGTCCCTGAGGGCACTGGCATGCAGGGGGGGCAGGCGCTGCTCACTCTGGGGGTGCCCTGCCTGCCCCCCATGGACACAGATGAGTCTAAGCTGCCCTTTTAGGGGTTCGGGAATCGGGTGGCACGCTCTGACTCCACTGGCTGCCTGTGTGTCTGCTTACCCGGCAGCTGGGGGTCTGGTGTGAGGGTGCGGCTGCCTGCAGCAGGCCCAGCTGGCCCCGGACGTGGGTGTGGGCGTCGTCCTCGTGTGCTTGGCTTTGTTGAGGTGTCCGTGTGAGAGGCGGCCCTGGAGAGGCCGCTGTTCATTCCTTGGCCTTGACCCTGAGCCGGGAGCTTGTCTGTGAGTGATGACGCTTGGCGCCCGGCCCCCAGCTCGGAGCGGCTGTGGGCTCTGCTCCGAGACGCCTTTGAGGAGCACTGCCCTTCGCTCCTGAGAGATGCCTGTCACTCAGCCGCCTCTCAGCAGGTGTCTTTAAGAAATAGCTGGGGGCTGCCCTGGCCGGTGTGGATAGACCATCGGCCTGCGGACTGAAGGGTCCAGGTTTGATTCTAGCCAAGGGCACATGCCCCGGTTGTGGGCTCAAGCCCCAGTGGGGAGGAGGCAGCTGATCCATGGTTCTCGCTCATCATTGATGTTTCTGTCTCTACCTCTCTCTTCCTCTCTGAAATCAATAAAAACATATTAAAAAAATAACGGGGGGTCAGAGTACCACACAGCCCCTCCATTTTCTCTCCGATGGACTCGGTTCCCCTTAAATCCTTCTCTGATGACCACGTCCATCCTCGGGGACAGGCTGGTTTTCCTGCTTCAGCTTCTGGGGGCGCCTGGGCAGGAAACCTAGGGGATCTCCACACACGGGGAGACCCTGCTTCGGGTCCTCCCACCCCAGCCCTGGGTGCTGAGGTCACAGGACATCAGCTGCTCTCTCCGGTCACAGGTGATGGGCTGCTTCCACTTCCCACCCCGCCAGGGGACACCGACGCTGTGTTCCTCGCCAGTGAGAGCTGGCCATGTCCGCGTTAGCAGTGGCTGTAGGGAGGCCGGGGGACCCCGTAAAACTCCAGGGCTGCCTTCTTCCCGCGGCCTCACCACCTGTCGTGGACCCTGCGCCCCCCCGCCCCCATGCAGCGTGGAGGCGGTGGGGAGCCAGCGCGTGTCCAGGAGAGCGGCCGTGTGACTGGCTGTCATGTCCCTCGGGTCAGTCGTTCTCCTCCAGGCTGGGGCCCTGAGCCAGGAAGGGGGACACTGTTGGGACTTCGTTGTGTGGTGGTCCAGCTGCCTGGCGTGGGGGGCAGTGCAGAGGCCAGCCTGTGAGCCTGGGAGGTTTGCTGACTTTCCTGTGTCCGCCGGGAGGTGTCCTTGGCCGGAACGGGCTGTCCTGACTGCTCTGCAGGGTTCGCTGTGAGGACAGGAGCTGGTTGGACAAGGTGGACGAGGTGGCGTGGGGTCACTTTGCCTGGCCGCAGGCACTATCACCCTGGACAGCGACACGCAGGGCCTGGCAGCTCCCTGGGAGGGGCCATCTCCCGGCCGTGCTGCTCACTGGGGTCAAGGTGAGCCCACCAGGTGGGGGACGCCTTGGCTTTGTCATCGGCGAGTGCGTTTCCCCAGAGGAGAGGACTGAGCAGCGCCTGTGCCTGGAGGTCCAGGGTCCGAGCCCAGTGGGAGGCCGAGTGGCAGGTGAGGGCAGGAAGCGCCGTGAGCGACCTGCCTTCCTGGCGATGCTCTGGCTCAGGCCGGTGGAGAAGGCTCCGGCAGGCACCGCTCCTCTCCCTGGCCTTGCCGCCGCCGCGCCTCTGCTGGTGGCCTTTCCGGAAGCTCGTCCTCAGAGGCCCCGTCACTGCCACGGGGTGAGACGTGGATCGTGGCCCGAGGCCAGTGGGATCTGTGTGTCTGAAGGTGAGGCAGCGATAGGAGCATGTCTGTGGTTTATTCATCTGCTTATTGGGCCTGTGGAAGAGGGCGGTGTGAGGTGGGGGCGTGGGCACCTCACTGCGGCCTCCTCTGGCAGGAAGTCCGATGGGCTTGACGCGAACCTCCATCCTGTCATTTCAGCCCATGGGCAGATCTGCCTCTCGGTGCCCGCGTGGCGTTCGTGCACCGTCCCGGGAGCAGGGCGCAGGCAGGTTTGGCCGCTGAGTGCCGTCAGGGTTCCTGGCCAAGCCCACGTGTGCGGTCAGGCGGCCCGGGCCTAAGCACCGCGTGGGCCTCTGGACCCTGGCGGTGATGGGATGGCAGCTGCGGAGCCGCGCCGTGTGCATCCCAGACAGCTTTTACCCCATGAGCCCCGGGTCAGCCCTGAGCAGCTTGCCTTGCCTGGCCTTGCCCTGGGACCTTGGGCCTCTCCAGGCGGCACCTGCTTTCCCGGGCCCCTACGAAGCCCTTCGCCCGGCGCCGTGCCCAGCCCGCAGGGTCGGTGAGTGGTGTTTGGAAAGCGCGTCTGTCCTGGCCGATGAGCAGCGTGGTCGACCCAGGACCTCATGTTGTCCCACGTGCCGCGCTCCAGTGCCACCTCCCGCTCAGAGCGAGTCCCCGGATCCGAG